GGGGGGTTAAAGTCCTAAATATAAGACGTGAAACCAAAAAACTCCTTAAAGGAAACATGGGGGGAAAGCCCCCTGACATTGGTCTTGGCAACAATTTTGTGGCTATAACGCCAAAAGCACAGCAACAAAAGCAAAAACTAACGAGTGGGACTACACCAAACTAAAAAGCTTCTGCACAGCAAAAGAATCAACAACATGGAAAGGTCACCGATAGAATGAGAGAAAATACTTGCAAATGCTGTCTCTGGTAAGAGGTTAATATCCAAAAGATGTAAAGAACTCGATAGCAAAAAAAGCAAACAATCTGATTTAAAAATGAGCAAAGGAACGGAATAGAGATTTACCAAATAAAAGGTGCCTGGCCTCAGGGAAACGCCAATCAAAACCACACTGAGCTATCACCTCACACCCGTTAGAAGACGTCATAAAAAAGACGCGAGATCACAGGTGTGGGCGAGGAGAAAAGGGAGCCCTGTGAGCTGTTGGTGGGAGTGTAAACTGGTGCAGCCGCTGTGGAAAACTGCATGGAGACGCCTCAAACATTAAAAACTGAACTACCATGTGGCCTGGCAACCCCACTTCCGGGGATATATCCAGAGGAAATGAAAACATGATCTTAGAGAGATATGTACACTCCCATGTTCACTGCAGGATTGTTCACAGTAGCTGAGCTGTGGAAACATCTCGTGTGTCCACCGACAGATGAATGGATGTGGAAGATGTGAGATAATCTATCTATATATATAAAAGCCAAGTGACGTTACAACGGAATGACCAGAACGACCAGAATGACCGGTCACTATGACGCACACTGACCACCGGGGGCAGATGCTCAATGCAGGAGCTGCCCCCAGCCCCTGATTGCTGATGGGGCCTGCCAGCCAACCTCCCAGTCCCTCCCCTGGGCTGGCAGGTCCCGATCGCCCAGTCAGGGTCGGGCCCCAGGCTGGGACGGGGAACTGGGGGTGGGTGGCCGCGGACCCGGGCAGTGAGGGAAGGAGGAGGGGGAGAGGCAGGGAGTGGAGGAGGCAGGGAACCTGAGCAGCCCTGATCCCTGGCCAGGCCCTAGGGACCCCACCTGTGCACGAATTTCGTGCACCGGGCCTCTAATATGGAATATTACTCAGCCATGAGAAAAGCAGGCACTCCTGCCATGGGGACAACGTGGAGAGCATTTTGCTAAGTGCAGTAAGTCAGACAGCGAAAGAGAAGCACCGCATCATCTCCCTTACAGGTGGGATCTACAAAAGCCAGCGCATAGAGGCAGAGAGGGACATGGTGGTTAGCAGCCTGAGGGGGCCCAGGAAGTGGGGAGATGTTGGTTCAAGGGTAAAAGCTTTCAGTGAGGTGATGACTAAGTTCTGGGGACCTAATGGGCAGTGTGGTGATTCTAGTTACTATATTATACACTTGAAAACGGCCTCCACAGGGCATGGCCCTCACACCACCCTCGGCGGTCGGACGCTGACCCCTGACGCCCTCTCTGGAGCCTGGCCTGCTCTCAGCGCAGGCGGGAGGCAGCTGGGGGGTTGGGGTGAGTTAGCTCCTCCCCCTCCCCCAGCTGCACCCGGAGAGATGAGGAAGGTGAGGCCAGCACAGGGCCCTCAGGAGGCGGGGCAGGGCCAGGGCCCAGTGCCATCACCCTCCAGGCTCTGTACCCGGCAGGAACCACCAAGTGCTCGAGCCCTCCCGCCACCCACGCCACCCGGGGCTGTGCTCCCATAAAGCCTGAGCTGTGTCTCCTCCCCACCGCGCCCCACGTGACTTCTCTACAGGCTTTGGGGCTTCAATCGGTCCCTTCACCTCCCTGGGCTGCAACCCAGTGGATCCTGCAAGTCTCCTAGAGTCGGGGGGGTGGGGGCGCGGGGGACGGACTTGGGACTCCATTGTCCCCACACCCCGCAGAGCAAGCGAGCCCTCTCTGGCCACTTGGAAAGGGAGAGGCACCGCTTGACATTCCTGAGCTGCCACGGGGCCGCCGCCAGAGTGTTGGGCTTAGGGAGGAGGAGGGGGAACTGGCCAAAGGCGAGGGAGGGTCTGGGCGCCGGAGCGTTGTGGGAAGGGGCATCCACTCCAGCCCTTGCCCGGCCCCTGCTGGGCTCCCCTGCCAGGAGCTGCCACACAGGCCTCTTGTTGGACGCCCCGAAGTCTCCACCCCGCGGAGCTGCCAGCCGCTGCCCCGGAGCCAAACGCTGCTGGTGCCGCCAGTGGCCCTGCGGGCGGGCGGTCTGGGAGCTCCCGGCCTCCCAGAGAGCAGTCGCCAAGCCCTGACGAGCAGACACACAGCGGCCTCCCCCTGAGCTTTAGCATTCGCCTTGCAGTGCAAGCTCCCCCCGCCGGCTGCTGAGCCCCTGCACACTCTCCTGTGAGGGGGAGGGCGGGAGGCAGGGCCACGGTTATTCCAGACCCCCGTGGCCCTCCCCGCCACAGCCTCTCCCCACGCGTGGCCATGGCCGCCACGGCGCAGAGCTCCTTGGAACGGATGCCCCTGAGCGAAAAGAGGCCGCACACAGCTGGCCACGAGCACATGAGAAGAGGCTCAACAGCATTAAGCATCAGAGAAATGCCAGTCAAAACCGCAAGGAGCATCCCCCAGCCATCAGCATGGCCATTATCCAAAGACAGCGAGGAGGGAGTGCTGGGAGGACGGCGCAGCCGGAGCCTTGCGCACCCGGAGGGTTGTAAACCGGAGCATCACCATGGAGGATGGCGTGGAGGGTCCTGACCAAACTAAAACGCACCTACCAGCCGACCCGCCTCTCGGTGAACGTCCAAAGGAACGGAAAGCAGGGTCCAGAGAGAGCGCGCGCCACGGCGGCGTTAGCCGAGTGGTGGCAACAACCTACGTGCCCATCAAAGGGGGACAAGGAGCGCGTGGCCCACACGCACCGAGGACTGTTACCCCCGAGGCGGAGAGACCTCTGCCCCAGGCCGCAACGCGCATGAGCCTCGAAGTGGAATAAGCCAGTCGCGGAAGGACAGACACTGCACGATGCCATGGACAGTGTCTAAAGCAGCCAGCGTCCTGGGAACGGAAGTGGCCTGTGGCGGCCAGCGGCGGGGGAGGGGCTGTCTAACGGGTAGAGTTGCCGACTGGCAAGATGAAAAGGCGCTGGACATCTGCTTCACAACAGTGTGAACATACTTAGCACAACTGGCCTGTGCGCTTCACAATGGTTAAGGTGGTGCCCGGCCAGCGTGGCTCAGGGGTTGAGCGTCCACCTAAGAACCAGGAGGTCACCGTTCCATTCCCGGTCAGGGCACATGCCTGGGTTGCGAGCTCAATCCCCAGTAGGGGGCGTGCAGGAGGCAGCCAATCAATGAGCCTCTCATCATTGATGCTTGTATCTCTCTCTCCCTCTCCCTTCCTCTCGGGAATGAATAAAAATACTGTGTATTTTTTAAATGGTTAAGATGGTAAACTTTATGTGTTTTTTACCACAATAAAATAAATAAGAGGGAGGGGATGGTTAAGGTGACGGCAGCCAATCTTCCCAACTCACAGATGGGAAAACTGAGACCCAGAGAGGAGCGCGGGGCCCAGGTACAGAGCCCTGGCAGGATCGGATCAGGACAGGCGTGGCAGACTGTGACATGCGGCCAAGTGATGGGCAGGCCACGGGCGGCTGGGCTCGGGCTCAATGGCCCTGGTCGGGGCTAGCTTTCCAGAGGTGACCACATGTGCCAGGGCCAAGTGGGTTATCTAGAAAATTCACTTAAGAGGAGTAACACCTGTGTGGCTGATGGCTAACTGTTCCCTCCCTGAGCTCCTTCAGGGAGCCCCCCGCCACCCCCCAAGCCAGAAGGACAAGGGGAGGGCAGGTGTCACGGGGTAAAAATGTGGGAAACAAACAGACTCAAATCTGCCTCGGCCACGGCCTGCACCTCAGCTTCTCCATCCCCCAAAACCGGGGAAGGGCCTGGTTCCTCACCAGGAACATGGCAGGGGGTTAAAGATTTGTATTTTATTTTTTCAGAGAGGAAGGGAGAGGGAGAGAAGCATCAATGTGAGAGTGAGACATCAATGGGCTGCCCCCTGCACACCCTCTACCCAGGATCAATCTACAACCCAGACGTGTGCCCCGACCTGGGATCGAACCAGCAGCTTTTTACATGGAGATGTTTAGTAAAAGGAGTCTAGGATGCTGGTTAACGCTCTGGAGCTGGACTCGTCCATTCCTGTTGTGGGGACACCATTTCCTCTGTGTGACCTCTCGGTGCCTCAGTCGATTCATGTGCAAAATGGGGATCACAGTACCGCTTAGGGCTGCTGTGAGGGTCACAGGAATTCGTTCATTGAAAGGGCTGGAAACCAGGATTGGGACGGGACAAGGGCTCAGAAACGAGCTATTGTTGGGAGATAATGGGGCCAGAGTGTGTTCCCATCCCTCTCAGCTACTGTTTGCTCCTGAGGGCCGCGCGTGGGCCTGACAAGAGAAGTGCCCGCTATCAGAGGGGCAGGCAGAGCAGGTCTGGAGGGCGGGGCCCTGGGCCTGGCCTCTGGAATGTCACCCGGTGTTTCCCTCGCCCGGGGTGTGACTGAGTCAGGGAACAGGTGCTGGGGGCAGGGACGGGCAGTACCAGGCCCCAGCCCTTCCTCCTCCCTGATTGCTACCACGGTCCCTGTGCTGCTGGCAGACATCACCAGGCAACCCTGCGGCTGTCCCGTGAGCGCCAGGCAGCTGGACTCTGGGCTCCAGGCTTCCTTGAGACGGAGGCAGGGAGACTGGAGGGGACCCGCCCAAGGCCCTCAGGAGGCACCGCCGAGCCAGCCATTCTCCCCACGGCAGCCGCTCCCCAGGGAGAGAACTCGGGCTCCTCCCCCAACAGCCCACAGCCCCACCCGAGGCGTCTCCGCACAGCCACCCTGCAGGATCCGGGCTTAATCCGGCGCACGAGGGCCGGTGGGCGAGGAAAGGATTTGGTTTCGTTCCTGTAGATGCCCGAGCCTTGGCCCGAGCCCCGGGCACAGGAGCGAAGGCGCGTGGCTGCCCCGCCTCTACCAACAAAGGCTTCCTTTATTAAATAGAGATGCGCTGCATTCCATTCAGAGGCGGGAACTGGACGTGGTGAGGGATGTGTCCAGGTGGTAGCCGGGTCCTGAATGGGCTGTGAGGGGTGAGGGGGGCCTGGGGCCTGCCTGTCCCACCCCTGTCCTGCGGGCAGGGCTTGGTGACCTCAGTCCGTGCTGTCTGAAGGGCCACCCTCGGCTGAAAGCAGGCTTGGCGCCTTGAGGCCTTGGCTGTGCTTTGCTTTGGGGGAAAAGTGCCCCGGTCCTTCCAGCGGCGGTGGGGGCGGTGCCTCCCGGAGCACAGGGCTCAGAGGGGCAGGGGCAGGGGCAGGTCACATGGGAGGGGCCTTGTCCATCGGAGGAACTTGGAGGCAGTTCTCAAGCAGGTGCCAGCTGGCGTGGAAGTCCCTGGCGGCCCCTCCTAGCACCACTGCCCTATGGGCACTGGGATGGGGCGAGGGATGGCCACAAGGGGGTGCTGGTGCGCAGGGCTTGGGAGCTGGGTGGGCGATACCAGGAGACCAGGCTGCCCAGCAGCCGCAGGCACCTGCAGGCAGCAGCTCCCGGAACTGGGGCGGAGGGTGCCGGCCGCCCCGGGGGTCCCCTCCCGAAAGCTGAGCCCCCGAGTGCGGGTCCGGTCCTCGGTCTTCGGTGCCTTCCAGCCTCGTGGTGGCCGTGCCACTGGGAAGGGAGAAGGGTCATCCCGTGAGGTCCTGTCTCCCTGGGATGGCGCGTGGGACCGGCTCAGCACGCCTCCTCGCCTGGCCGTGTGTCCGTCTGTGCAGCTTCTGGCTCCGGGCTGGCTCCCGCACCGTCCTCCTGTCCGCCCGTCGGTCCTGGGCCAGGCTAGGCCTCCTGGGGGAAGAAGCCCAGCTTGGCCAGCGACATCTCCTTCCGCAGCCTGGTGATCTCCCAGAACATGGGCTCTGCTGCAGGCAGAGAGAGGGCGGAGAGCTTGGTGACAGCTCAGGGTCACCTTGGGCAGACGGCCTGGCCCTTCCCTGGCTCTGGGCAGGGCAGCGGGCAGGCACTCTGGGCTCCCCGTCCCCCAGGACAGATGGCCTCGGCCAGTGGCTGCACTCTCCAAGGGTGGGGTCTGAGGTTTGCAAACTGCTGAGTGCACACACGTTCAGGGGCCGTGCTGCCCGGGGAGCAGGTGGCGGTCGCTCCCACAGCCGGACACGGATGAGCAGGTGCACACGGCCACACACTCACAATGCCTTCCCTCCTCACCTCCCAAGGCCTCACCGGGACCTTGAGCAGCTGGAAGGAGGTGGCCCCTCAGGGCTCAACCCTGGCCTGGCTGCGGCCTTCCCGGGGGACTTGGCCCCCACAGGTGGGGGAGAGGCGCACACTCCAAACTGGTTCAGGACACTCTTGGGGAACCAAGGTTGGAGGAGCGGGAAGCTAGGCTATGCAGGATGGGGGGAGGGGGCAGGGGTGGCCGGAGGACCCGCTGGGCAAGGGCACAGGGGGAGGCCCAGGTTCAGGGGCCATGAGAAGGCCACACCTGGAGGAGAGGGGTCCCCGGGGAGGCCCCTCATGCAGGTCCTCCAACGCCAGGCCAGTGACAGGGAGCTGTCCCTGCAGGCCCTGGGCCAGGGAGAAAGCGTTCAGCCCAGGTGGGGGGTGGCATCAGGCTAGCGTTCCTGGTAAAGCGGGGTTCAGAGCTCCTTCTGCAGCTCACATCAGCGCCAGGCTGACTGGCCCTTTCCTCACCCACAATCTCCCCCTTCACCGAGTCCTGGCAGAAGCCTCGGACCGGCCCCATCCCCATCCCCCAGGGTGCCATCCCCCGTCGGCCACCAGGGGGCGCTCACCGTCCTGCCGCACCAGGCCTTGCTGGATGTAGCGGATGTAGGTGAAGAAGTTGCACACAGCAGTGATCTGTGGGAAGAAGGGGAGGGGGGGGATGTGACCGCCAGTCCTCAGACTTGGGGTCCCTCAAAGGCCAGGGCAGGTCAGAGACCAGAGCGGGACGCCCCATGTCCTGTCCCATCAGAGCCTGAATCGAACGGGGCCGGGCTGTTTAACAATAGCAGTACTATTACGACCTCGACTAAAAACAGCAGCAGCAACTAGCATTTAATCGAGGGCCCACCGCCAGGGAGGCAGCCTGCTTCTCATGTCCTTGTTACGGGGGAAAACGGAGGCCCCCAAAACGAAGCCAGCCGGTATCCGTGGAGGTCACAGAGCCAGTCGTGGCAGAGCCGCCCACCCCGCGGCTGCCTGCTCTGGACGCCGAGGCCCGGGCCAGCCAGGCCTTAGCCAGGTGCTCCTGGTAACGCCAGGGAAGACAAGGGGATCGAAGCCGCTCACCTGGCGGCCCTGGGTCCCCGTGCCCGAAGCCCCAGCCCGGCCGAAGCCTGCTCTGCCCCCTGTGCTCAGACCCGGGCCCTGCCACGAAGACTCTCATACGGTAGAGAGGATATTGCAGGGCCCTCCCCAGGCTGGGGCCCCATCTCCCCGATGCTGAGAGAGCTGGCCGCTAATGGCTCATAGGTGTCCCTCTGCCAATGGCTACCTGGCATGGGGGGTATAAAAGGCCAGTCCCCTTGCCTCAGGGTGGGACCCACTCAGCCGCAGCCAGACCCCAGCCTCGGCCACACCCCGCTTCACTCTGCCACCTCCCCTAGCCTGCACCCCATCCTGCCGTCCTCTCTAGCGCCTGAGCCTTGCACGTTCCTCTGAGGCTCTGCCTTTAGGAACACCCGCCCTGAGGCAGATGGCAAGCAGCTGGCAGTGCCCACAGCAGCCCCCACTGGACGTCCAGCCCTCTAGGGAAGGGGGGGTCCAGTGTGTGGGGGCCTCAGACGGGGCATGGAGAAAGTCACAGGGAGCGGACCTGCTCGTGCTGGGCCCTCAAACGCACAGGAACCCTTGCCAGGGACAAAGCGGGTGCAGGGGGGCTGGTGGCCGGGCACAGGCAGGGAGGTATGAAGAGAGTGTGGCCAAGTCAGGGCACCAGCCCAGTGAGGCCAGAATGCGGGGGGCGGGGCGGGACTGGCGGGGGAGAGCAAGAAAAAGGCCAGGTGTGGCCCCCTCCCCCCCGCGGGCGGCTCGTGAGCAGGGACTGACGAGAGCAGGGCTTCTGGCCCAGGGCTGTGCTTGGAGACAGAGCTCCTCTCCCTGCG